AAGGAGGGGAAACATTTAGGTCTTTAAGGGCCCAGATGTATATCTGGTTGCGCATGTGCAAATGAGCCGATGGTACTGATCGTGCTTCTGAGTTGGAAACCATAGTAACCGTAAACAGCAAATTTTGGAGAAAGAAAAGGGATGTTGTTTTTTCCCTGTTGGATGACTCATTTCCTGTCTGTGATACTATTGCTTCATACTTGATGCTCCCACTACTTCTGATTTTCCTTTTTGACCCTTAGTAGGTTTCAATAGCAGAAATTATAATTCACAAATATGTGTTCAAACCATTATAACCCCACTAATATATATATATATACAGTAATCAATATCCTAACTTTCCTGTATCATCTCTATATAGCTTCCATATTTATTTATTTTATAGCCTCTTACAATCACTCTCTGTTTATATATACCATTTATAGTCAATGCATACTTCTGGATAGATGCAAGTTACATTTTGTTGCTTTGTACTTGTGACAGTGTCATGGCGATAAAGTGGAATTTTAATCTATTCTATTCAATTCTATTCAATTCTAAACAAGGATCTGTGCTCAACCTACATAGTGTTTTCTCTACAACATGCCATGCAAAGACTTTTTAATTGACCCGGACTGTCATACCTTTCAGGCATCCCCTGAATCCTGCTTTGTTTTCCCCTCTGAACTTGTTTCCATCAGTTCATTCACCCTCCTGGCTGGAGGCAGCAGAGCCCAGTAGCACGTCGGCCATCTCTTTGCTCGTTTATGGGAAACAAACAGCAGGCCTGGCTCAGGTCTGCGGCTTTCAACTCCAAACTCTGTCTAAAGACAAACAAACTTCTCCCTAAGCTCAGTACACAAGCCCTTTTGGAGGCGTGGAAGCTCCCGGTTTTTTGATGCCAATTTCAAAACGCAGATTAAAGACGAAGTCATGCGCTGCATATCAATGTTCTTTTAAAGCCTTCATTTTCACAGCCTGAAGAAGGAGACTCTTATATGTTTTTCTCTCTCTGTTGAGGAAAGCTTTTATCTTTATTTGTGGGGGCACAGCTTGAATTAATCTTTGTGTTTTGACATATAAACACCATTGTGCCCTGCTCACAAACTGCTTGGGTAAAAGCTGATTAGCTCTGAGCAGTTTTTCTTTGCTTTTAGACCTTAAAGTAGTTTTTTCAACATTTCCAGTTATATTATATATTTTTTAATAACTGAACCATCACTATCTCTTTTGATGCAATTTTTTTCTTTTTTTGGCAATGCATTCATGAGTTTTAATGAGTTTTTCCTCCTGTTGATTGAATTTAGTTTTTTTTTTTTTTGCCTAGAGCTAAAAAAAACTTGTATTGTGGTCCAAAATATCTCTTTACACTCTGTAGGAATATAAAGGTAAACCAGAGAAATGAAAGAGTTTGTTATTGTTGTTTTTTATGGGACTGAATAATTCATCACTGATAGCATTTGCAACACTTTCACTGTTCTTTTTTTTTGAAACTTTAAAAGAGCTTTGTGGAAAACTATTTTTTCCTATGTGTGCAACTAATAGATCAAAATAAAGAACTACACAGTTTGAGTAATGAACAAATAACAAAAAAACTTTGCTTTTCATATCTTCTGTGTTACATGTCATCCCTTTTTTTCCACATAAAACATCTTCTTTTGAAGTTGTTAACAGAAGCCAGGTCTTGTACTCCTGTATCTGCAAAGTTCCTTAAAGGGTTAGAAGAATAGAGAACGAAGCGGCCGAAGGGAATATTTTTATTCCTGCTTTCAACACCCAGTTTATATATTTCTTTCAAATTTTTTTTCTATCCACCTTTTAAATCTGGTTACATGGCCATCTATCCATCCCTCCCTCCCTCCCTCTCTCTCCATCCACCCATTAATACATCTCTCCATCCATCCATCCATCCATTTAGCCACCCATAATCCATCCATCCACCCATTAATACATCTCTCCATCCTTCCATCCATCCATTTAGCCACCCATAATCCTTCCATCCACCCATCAATCTATCCATCCATCCACCCATCAATCTATCCATCCATCCACCCATCAATCTATCCATCCATCCACCCATCAATCTATCCATCCAT